TGATCCGGTACTTTCTCTGCGTGGCCTTTAGATATCATCTCAGACATAAAGTTGGTATAATCAGAATGAAAGGAAGGATCTCTCTTAAATCTTCTTTTAAGGTTCAGAGTGTGTTGCTCAGCAACACCTTTATTGTCGGGCATGCATATTTCCTTTTCTCTAAATGGTAATCCAATAGAATAATGTCCATTGACTAGGTGGGCAGATTTTGAAACCAGATCCAAGAACTGTTGGTCTTCCCTGGAAGGTTCTTGGTTGTCTCTCCCACATTCGGGAAAGTCAGTCTTAAATTGCTGTTCCCACAGCGTGTCAAGTTGCACAACTGATGTTCTGTTTACACTTATTGAAGTGTTGTCCTGAGTATCATCAGTACATCCTCCGAATGGTCCATTAACTGTGCATCCGAGCATGGTTTTTACGGCATAAGGTCCATCCCCCACACTCCTGATTACCTCAATTGGTTCAAGGGCTTTTGGAACATCTGAACCAATCAGCAACTCAATTTCAGCATCAATTTCAGGTAGACAAACATCCCTCAAATGCAACCATTGATTGATGTCGTTTTGACGTGGAATGTTTCCTTTGTGCACGGGCATAGTCTTCTGAGTGTATGTGCCGGGTAGATCACAAAAGTTGCTGTTATCCAGTCCAGCAACCTCTAGGCCTGACACAATGCTGGTTTCAATGACCTTCCTTTGACCCATAGTTCTCAGCAGAATGTTTGACCTTCTTCCTTGGAGGTTAAGTTTGTTCATAAGCCCTAATGTGCAAAACGATGCAATGCTGCCTGGGTCAAGAAATGCATAGGTATGCACTGTTGTGTTCCCCTTTTTGGCTTTAACTTGGACTGGTACTATGCAGAGTTTGCAACCATCTTCCCTGGCCCCAGTAAGGCCACCTGTCTGAATTGAGGCTTCAGCAGTGTTTGCAGATGCTTCTTCCATGTCCTTCCTTTGTTGGTAGAAGTGCATTCTGGGATGATTTAGATTGCATATGTTGCACCTCATTCGTTTCCTGCAGTCTCTACTTATGTGTCCTTTACACAGGCAGCCAAAACAAAGACCATTTTCTTTAAGAAATGTGATTGTTTCATGATGTATCCTCCTTCCTAACTGTGGACACATCTCCAGAGCATGTTCACATCTACAATACAAGCAGTTTTTCACAGCTGACAAAATCCCTTTCTCTACAGTGCTTCTGTCATATTTATTTTCTGTAACTTTCACATTGGTTGCAAAGATGCTTCCTCTTGGATGAGGCTGTGGCCTTCTTATGTCTTTGCTTACGGGAAGGGGGTCTTTAATGTCCCCAAATATGGGATCTGTAGCAATTTTTACTTGCCTTTCAAGGAATTCCACAATATCCTTGAAGGCAGCCCTTTGGTGTTGTTTTTCCTGGATGTCACATGCTACAGTTCTCCATAAATCCCTCAGCCTATATGGACGTTTCTTTAAAATGGCTAGCATGTTTGCTGGAATGTTGAGCTCAAACATGTAGTTTACATCTTCCATCGCATTGCAACATCCTCTAAGGTAGACCGTGTATGCCTGTAGAGCCCTTGTGTCCTCAGCCCTTATTAATGGCCATGAAAGAGCTCTTTCCATGTATGCTGTTGCAATGTTATGTTCATTGCCAAAGTTCTGTTGCAGTAACCATTTGGCCTCGCTGAATCCACTGTCTGAGGCCATATGTCGGCAACTCCGTACAAGGTCTCTGGGCAGTCCTGTTGTATATTGCTCCAGGTAGTAGAGGCAGTCTCTGGGGTTATTATTTTTGCTTTCAATATTAAATTCGAAAGATCTCACAAATGTTTGGTACTGAAGTGGGTCACCATTAAACACTGGAATGTCTTTCTTGGGCATGGATGATAGACACTGTTGCTGGATTAATAAAGCGGTTAGTTCATTTTGTTTTTCCATGACTGAAAATATATTGCACGTGTCACTGTTACTTGTGGCAGTTACTGGATCTGGAGATGCTACATGTAAATGTTCATCTAGATTCCTGATGCTTGCATTAGGTGTTAGGGGAGCTGTATCAATGTTAGTGACAGCTCTGTCTGTGGTGGTTATGATTGGTTGTTTTAGTGGTACAAACTGTATTTCCCTTTGTCCCGTTTCAAAATATGACTGCATGCCATTGGATAATATAGAACAATTAGCTGATCCCCTGGGGGCTGCTAACACTTTCATTTTTGCAATGGTGGCAGCAATGTTTCCTTCTAATTCCATTTGCTCCTTTTTCCTCCTCAACTCCTGCTCCTGTGCTTCCAGGACATGTTTGTCCTTTAGGAGTTTTTGGAGTACTTTCATGGCTGCCACTTCGGCCTCAGCTTTTATGTGTGCAGATGCGGTGCTGGAAACTTTTGATCTTGAGCTTTGCCTGCTTTTTCTGCTACCAATGTTTGATATGCTGTACCAGGTTGTATATCATCTTGTGTGCATGATGTAGCCTTCATGTTTGACGGGGGAAAGAGAACGTCCTGCTGAGCCTCAGTGTGTTACAATTGCTCCTTTACATCGGCGGGTGCCTTGTCTGGTAGAATGAGAGGAATATCTGTGTTTGCAGCGATTGGTTCATTGACAGTCACATGACCTGTTTGCAGAAAGGGCCTCCTCCCTGTTTCCAAGAGCCATTGTTGTACATCCTCCATAAAATCATTGTTATGTTTTGTTATTTGTTGAAACCAGTTATTTTGTATTTCCAGGTCGTCTTCGGAAAGCAACATAATAACTGATTCATGTGCTGTTTTAGCATTTTCATATTGATTAATTAATTTGTCCAGTTTGAGTTTAACATCCTTTGCATTTTCATCATTTTTCATTAGATGTTTGATTTCCTGTGTGCGTCCTTTAATCTTCTGCACGTTTGACTGACATTCTTTTTGTAGTTGTTCGATTTTGCAAGCCAAGGCTTTACTAGTAAGCTTGACAGCCCTTTTTTCCATGTCACCGTTTGTGTCACTCATATTTGATGCAATATGTGTGGTGCCTTAGCATTTCAAGTAACAGCACAGTGTTCACTGGTATGAAACTTAAACCAGCGGGGCCCGGCCGCCACAGCAAAACAAACTATTCGAAAACTTCCGCCGCTCCTAGCATAACAAGCACGCGCAACCGCCGCTCACAGCACAGCACAGCACATAACAAACCTTCCGCCGCTCACAGCACAGCACAGCACATAACAAACCTTCCGCCGCTCACAGCACAGCACAGCACATAACAAACCTTCCGCCGCTCACAGCACAGCACAGCACATAACAAACCTTCCGCCGCTCACAGCACAGCACAGCACATAACAAACCTTCCGCCGCTCACAGCACAGCACAGCACATAACAAACCTTCCGCCGCTCACAGCACAGCACAGCACATAACAAACCTTCCGCCGCTCACAGCACAGCACAGCACATAACAAACCTTCCGCCGCTCACAGCACAGCACAGCACATAACAAACCTTCCGCCGCTCACACACTCAAAAAAACGATTCAAGCCCTTCTTAGACTTGACACATTAATAATTGTTTCACTTTACTTAAATATTTTTATTTAAGAAATAAACCTAAGTATAGTTCATTAGTGTAACACAAATTACATTAATCAATTCACTTATTAAATGTATTTAAGACAGAGCAACTCAAAATGAATTGTTTTCATTTGGGACCGCCCCTTTGCACATCACCTTTGCGCATGCACAAAATCCGTTCTGTCATTTGCCGCCTTTTGTCTAACACTGACGGTGTGAAACTGACGGTGGAAAGTCTATTATTTGGTAAGTATTTGTTTTTTCTAGTAGTTTAGAATGTTCCCTGTTTCCAAGTAGGCCTAATGCCTTTTCATTATATCGACAAGAATATTTGAAACCACCGTGTTATATTTTGCTCCGTTTTTAGTTGGGTCTAAACAGCAAGCTAGCTAGCTTGCTAGATATGGTTAGCATTGAATACTGGATAGTAGAGATCATTAGATTATATTAAATTAGATGTCACGTTATTGTCATTGAACACAGTACACCGAAATTCAGTTTAAATTCAACCAAAAAATGCAAAGAGTAATTAAAGTGCACGAGGTAAAGCAGCAAGCTAGCTAGCTGGATAACTGGTTTGTTAGCTAGCTTGCTAGATACGGTTAGCATTGAATACTGGATAATGGAGATCATTAGATTATATTACATTCGATTTAACGTTATTGTCATTGAACACAGTACACCGAAATTCAGTTTAAATTCAACCAAAAAATGCAAAGAGTAATTCAAGTGCACGAGGTAAAGCTAGCTAGCTGGATAACTGGTTTGTTAGCTAGCTTGCTAGATACGGTTAGCATTGAATACTGGATAATGGAGATCATTAGATTATATTACATTCGATTTAACGTTATTGTCATTGAACACAGTACACCGAAATTCAGTTTAAATTCAACCAAAAAATGCAAAGAGTAAGCGCCGCCATTTTCTATCATAAAGCTCAGCAGGTCTGTCCATCTCTCTCCTGGCCTTAGTGCAGGCAGAGGAGGACAGGCGGAGCCACTCGTTTCTGTAGGAGTTCAGTTGAGTTTAGTTTTTTACTGCCAAATATTTAATATAAATAATGAGATAATATATATATGTGAATCTTGTATGGGTTACCTCACTCACAAGCAGGCACCCAGAGTTGTGCAGAAACGTAGGCCTGCTTTATAAAACATGTCTACTAGACTCTTAATTTTAAAGTGTGATCTGTTATCATTTTTTTTTTGGGTTGTGCAATCTTAGGCAATTATGTGTTGTCTGTGAAAATTCAAATATATAAGCATTTTAATCACACCTCTAATATATTTATGTTGTCTTTTGCAGTTTGATCAGCATTAACAAGCATCTTGGGGCAACCTCTTATTTATGGTAAGTACACGGCTACTTTCACATTACTTGCATAAGCTGATCTGTGACATTGTCAGTTGTTCAGTGTCAATTGCTAATTCTCTTTTTTCTCTTTTTCAGGTTATGCATGTGGCAGTGTTGACGAGGGCCCACCCTTGTTTGGGGCAGCTAGGATCCAAGACAGGATTTGGGGGGTGGAAACAGTCTCTTAAGTACAAAATGCAAAACTATCGTACAAAGCTTGGCCGTCTTGGACATCCTGAAATCCTTGTGAACTCCTTAAAGCACAAGAAAACAGGCCAAGGCAAAGCTGCAGCAAACATAAAAAAACCAAGAAAAGCTGAAGTAAACTACATTCCTCTGCACCCAAAAGGCGAAACCACAGAAAGCTTGGAGAACGAGAGAATTGCCTTATTGTCAGAACTGAAAAAGCGTGACAATGAAGTGGTGATAAAAGCAAAAATGGAAAAAACCTTCTCCCACAGACGCCTTGAGATTGTGGAGCAAAGGCCTTTGATAGGGGACTTCAAATGCAGATGGCCTGCTCTGTTTCAGCAGAGTGAAGTAAGTAAATATTTGTATTTGTTGACAGTCTTTTATTATTGTCTTTTGTGATTCATGTCTACATCCTTGCATGGTTGTGATTCTAATAAACAAGTAACAATTGGTTGTATTGTGCTTGTTAATAATATTTTTAAGGTGAATGCGGAGTTTTTGAGGATCACAACATCACCACTTCAATCAAAGTTCATGTGGCAGCTGGACCACTTCTCAGACAAGCTCTTGAAGATCTTCAAGACCAAAGGAGGAGTGAAGGGGCACAAAATCAAGGAAGCCCTTGCAATATCAGATTCGGTTAGTATAAATGCAGAGAACCTCGTTTTTCACTGTATTGTTTTTGTCCATGCTGATATGAACACATTTAAGAAATTGTCTGCTTTTATAGTGTTTTTAAGGCAATAGCTTATTGTGGAAATGTAGGTGTAAGGAGTCCTGCTTAGGGACACACACGACAGATACAGCCCTCTACTTTGTAAACTACCTGCTCTGTTGCACATGCATTGTGCTTAATTGTCTTTGATTTATTGCCCCTGCTTTAGTTTGAAAACATCCACATCAAGAGGGGGTGCATCCTGCGAAGCATCGCGATCTACCTCAACGAGGATCCAGACTCTTTTTTTAAGGAGTATCAGGTATGTTTATCACAATATGTTTTCAATGTATTGGTTAACAGTGTTACCCACAATTATAACCACCATTACTTACATTTATAATAAGAAAATTATATGGCACACAACCCTATCCCTGCTTACATCTAAATATCTTATCACATATCATAAATACATGCAGAAATAAATAAATCTATACATTAATATAGGAATGAATATATGTAAGAATGAATAAATACAGAAATAAAAAAATAATAATAAATAGATACAGAAGTAATTTCATCGGGCAAGTGTTAAAATAAATATAGAAAAAAGTGAATTAATACATTTATACAGATATAAATACATCTATAAATTAACATAGGAATACAATTGATAAATACAAATGTGAATTAAAACATGAATATATCTGGAAATAAATACAAATAATAAATGAATGCTGAAATAAATATTTACATTTATATATAAATACATCTATAAATGAATAAATAAATATGGACATGAATACATATGTAAGAACTTATAAATAATTGAATAAATACATAAATAAAATAATAAATAAATGCTGAAATATATTAATCAATAGATTCATGTTTAAAAAGGTATGTGAATGCAGCAATTACTAAATTGTTAAAGGAATAATTACATAATCACATAACAAGGAAATAAATTATTAAAGAATAAATAATCAAATACATATCGAAATAAGTAGGTAAATGCATAATTAACTACAGGAATAACAACAAATTACATTATTAAGTAGGGATGTAAACAAATAATACCTGAATTAATAAATAAGATAACGTTGATAATCAAACAGAACATACAGGAATATATCTTTATAACTTATTTATGCAAACATTTTCTTACAAGCTTAATTTAGTTCTGTGTTGGAGGTCCTAACCTTCTCTGGTATCACTCGGACATTTTTGTCCAAATTGGTAATTTTTCACATCAGATTTGGCTATAATGATTTTGTGTTTTTTCTAGATACTTTTTGGAATTTCAATTTTTCTAATCGGTCTCGAATACACTGTACAAATTACCCTAATTGTCCATTTAAAAAATGTTCCCACACTTCCCAAAAAGTGTGGGGGAAAAATATTTAAATATAATATTGTTATCATATCATTTTATCATTCAAGTTTTTGAAAGTGGACATTTTTATCCTGAGTGGCCAAATAGGGTAGTACATTTGAGTGATACCAGAGGGTTAGTCTAAAACTGTTTTGATCAATTAGGAGAGCCACATAAGTAAATCTGCTTCTATAAAATGTAGTAATTCAGGTTTTAGTTAACACATGTGTTGTATGTTTGTGTCTTTGTTCAGGCCTCTGCCTCTGAAGATGCCAAGAGGGACATGGCAAACACAGTCATGGGCATATACACACTTCAAAGAGATGTGGATGGGCAGCCAGAGGACGTGGGAATTGTCATCGAAGGCAATATAGTCATGGACAACTTGGGCAGCGTGATTGTGGGGTTTGTCATGCTATTGGGACTTATTTATGCCCTGGATTTGAGCTTTCCGGACAACCTCAAACACACCTTCGAGTTCATGCAGAAGGTAGTGATGAATCTGGATGGGCACAAGCTGAATGGTAAAATCGAAAGTCTGAAGATCAAGTTGTTCGATTGAAATGTGAAAAAGAAGTGACTCATGAGTTCATTGTTGTCATTTTATTCACGAGTTTCCTAGTCAGAGCAGATTGAGCCGTTATATCAATCATTTGTTCTGTGCTTTTCTGTATTTGTTTCAACACACTGTAACACTATTTCCATATGTTGGTGTTTGCAGTGCACTCTTTATGTTATGTGTTATTGTCCTGTTAGAAGAGCAGTGCATACCCCTGTTATATTGTATTCATTGTATTTGGCAAAGGGAGATTTGTAAGTTAATTATAGGAGTTCCATTTCTCTGCCATTTTAAAAATGGTATTATCTTTCAGAAATGTTTTTCATCTTTCAGTGTGAATTCATTCATTTTAAAAAGACTGTATTGAATGGAGGATTGTTTTGAATAATGTGAATTTAAAAATAAAAAAAACTAAACCATGTTTTCTATCATGTGTAACACATTTTTATTAAATTATATTTAACCTCATTATTTCATTTTCAATTAATTAAATAGGATTTAGGTGGACTAGCATTATTTAAATTCATAAAGGTAATGTTATCATTTTACTTAAACTCTATTTGAAAAATTTGAGTTGGACTAACTCATTTACATTATACTGCATGGATGCCATTAGTTTGAGTTTGTGCCACATATATTTATTGGATGGAAAACCTGCCAACAATAAAATTGAGTTAATCCAATGAGTTATTTCTTTGAGTGCAGCACAGCACAGCACATAACAAACCTTCCGCCGCTCACGGCATAATAAACACACACAACAAAAGCCAAAGTCCCCAATGGACAAACGGTCACGCTTCCCAAACTGTGTCCAGCAAAAATACACAAGAAAGGAAATAATCGTGCCTACCGCTTTTAGCTTGTTGTGCGCTGCAGTCAATGAGTGTCCATAAGTGAGTCCTCGTGGCTACTCCAATCCATATCGATCAGGGAAAAACTATCCGAAGGTTCCAAAGGTACAAAATGTTAAGTCCGTTATCCGAAGCGTCCAAGCTATCCGTAAGCGTAGGAAGCCAGCCGGTCCGTCCAGTTCGGTCTCTGATGGGAATGACCGGCGTTTTTTCTGTTGACTTAATGTGGAGGCTCAATCCCCAGTTACATTTGAGTCGCCGAGAGGCTAAACTTGGCTTTAAACTGTGACGCGTTTTCGAAAAGAAAGTCCATGTTGAAGCAATATAGCTTTAGGGTTATTTAATAAACAAAATCAAAACATAGTAACTATGGACAAAACGGTCAACAGAAAAAATGACAGCACAAGCTCACCCTCTGTCCTGTGCACTCGACATCAAACAGGTGACTTATAAACCAAACCACACCCATGTGACAATTACCGGAAGTGCTCAACAAGCAAATAAAGGTGACGTAAATAATAATGATATTACAAATAATGAACTTGAGCTAAGTAGTGTTATGGCACCTACATATAACGTGTGTGTGTGTGTGTGTCCTCTAATTAGCCTCATTAGCCGGCTGCTACAGACGTGCCATATGTAAACAATAACATTAGCACAGGAACAGCCGTTAGCAACATGCTACACACGCTTAATGGCGAATCAGCTGTTAAACAAAGTGCTGAGTCTTCCTGCTGATTTTATTAGAAACTATTATGTGTGTAAAATATGCTGCACAATATAAACACCAACAACACAAAGACTTTATTTGACACTACAGGAGTAATTATCAAAGCAGCTCAAACACAACACAGATATTAGCTGCCGTGTAGCACGCGGTGAACGCCCCATCGTTCTGCTTCAATCTGGCCCCTCCAACATCACTGACTGCTCTCTTACAGCCTGTGTGTGTGTGTGTGTGTGTGTGTGTGTGTGTGTGTGTGTGTGTGTGTGTGTGTGTGTGTGTGTGTGTGTGTGTGTGTGTGTGTCAGATGATCACAGTGTTAACATGTAAAGTGGTTTAATCAAAGAGCTCTGCAGGAGGTGAGAGGAGAAGAAGAGGAGGCTAATTAAGAGAAGACTTCATCTCACACTCACACACACTGTAACACACACACACACACACACACACACACACACACACACACACACACTGTAACACATACACACACACACACACACACACACACACACACACACACTGTAACACACACACACACACACACACACACACACACACACACACGGAGGTCATTAGTGAGTTGTAGGTGGAGACAGTGGACAGATAAACAGAGAGAGGAAGTGTCAGATTCCCTGTTAATTAGCACTGTGTGTGTGTGTGTGTGTGTGTGTGTGTGTGTGTGTGTGTGTGTGTGTGTGTGTGTGTGTGTGTTTAATTATCTCCACACAGGATAAAGAGTGTTTTAGAACTGGACTAGGGGAACCAAAGGGAAGTAACACAATAGAGAGCAAGACGGAGAGGAACCGGTGAAGGTCTGCCAATCAAAGGAAACGGCTCACCAGCATACTTGCAAAGTAAACCAAGATAAACTAGAACAACTTTCTCCTAACAGTCTGTAACTGATCTCTGGGCCGTAGGGTCTCCGTTACCTAGAGCTTCACTACAGAGAGCCGCAGTGACGCGTCCTAGAACCCGGAAGTAAGTTAGCATTTTTAGCACTTCCGGTTCCTTCGTCCAAAAGCAACGCATTTTCTCCAAAGGGTTTTGGAAAATAGCTCCAAATAAGGTCTGTGGTTGAGACACATTGAAGAGATGAATCACGTGTTGCTCTACGACATTAAATCCATGAGCAGAGACCCCACTGGTGATTTCTGAAGACTTTACGAGTCTGAAAAACGATGGTTGTTACCGAGGCCCTTTCTCATTTCTCTAACTTCCCCTCCTCGACTTCCTATCTCGACTCCTATCCTCGTGTCTTTAGTCCCGCCCACAGGAGATGCGAGCCGAGGCAGCCGAGGAGCGGAAACCGAGGAGAGAGGAGGGGAACCGAGGAGAGAGGAGGGGAGCCGAGGAGAGAGGAGGGAAGCGAGGAGCTGAGGAAGGGAGGCGAGGAGGGGAGGCGAGGAGAGAGGAAGGGAGGCGAGGAGAGAGGAGGGGAACCGAGGAGAGAGGAGGGGAAGCGAGGAGAGAGGAGGGGAAGCGAGGAGAGAGGAGGGGAAGCGAGGAGAGAGGAGGGGAAGCGAGGAGAGAGGAGGGGAAGCGAGGAGAGAGGAGGGGAAGCGAGGAGAGAGGAGGGGAGCCGAGGAGAGAGGAGGGGAGCCGAGGAGGAGAGGAGGGGAGCCGGAGAGAGAGGAGGGGAAGCGAGGAGAGAGGAAGGGAGCCGAGGAGAGAGGAGGGGGAACCGAGGAGAGAGGAGGGGAAGCGAGGAGAGAGGAAGGGAGCCGAGGCGAGGAGAGAGGAGGGGATCCGAGGAGAGAGGAGGGGAAGCAGCAGGCGGTTAGAGAAAGGAGAACTCCTCTCCTCTGAGCGCTCATTTTAAAGAGACGTCCATTAATGATGACAGGAGGCAGCAGCCCTCTGTCTGATGGACAGATGTGTTCATGACCACTTCTATATGTACTTTGATTCATTCACAGTGCGGTATAATGAGACAATAACAGCTACAGATGCGGGGACACACACACACACACACACACACACACCTGCAGCTCCTAAAGCATCCTCAGGCTGCAGCCGTTGTGTATTTTATTTAGTGAAGCACTAAATGCTCTGAGAAACATCTGGACTCTTTGTTTGTAGATATCTACTAAACTAAAGCAAAGAGAGTCGGCCTGTTCTACTGAGTGATATCTATGATACACACTGCTCTGCTTTCTGCACGGACCTCTCAGCTGTTCTACTGAGTGATATCTATGATAGACACTGCTCTGCTTTCTGCATGGACCTCTCAGCTGTTCTACTGAGTGATATCTATTATACACACTGCTCTGCTTTCTGCACGGACCTCTCAGCTGTTCTACTGAGTGATATCTATGATAGACACTGCTCTGCTTTCTGCATGGACCTCTCAGCTGTTCTACTGAGTGATATCTATTATACACACTGCTCTGCTTTCTGCACGGACCTCTCAGCTGTTCTACTGAGTGATATCTATTATACACACTGCTCTGCTTTCTGCACAGACCTCTCAGCTGTTCTACTGAGTGATATCTATTATACACACTGCTCTGCTTTCTGCACGGACCTCTCAGCTGTTCTACTGAGTGATATCTATGATACACACTGCTCTGCTTTCTGCACGGACCTCTCAGCTGATCTCTCTGAAACATCGCGTCACCATGAGAGCAGTTACTACAATAATATCCAGGGGATGCATGCAGAGCTGTGATTGGCTGAGATCAGTCCGGCCGTGTCTATGTTTTCCAAAGGAGAGTCTGGATTCGTGCCATGAGGTAAGCTGACGTTACATTTCTGTCCATGTCACGGTGAAATGTAAATGATGGGTAGTGACTGTATCCAGGGGCGTTTCTGTACTAAAGTGGTGGGGCACAACAAACTTAGATGTCTATAAGCTTCTGCAGTGAGGTTCATGGCTGCTGAGGCTCTGACTCTTCAGGTTTACAAATATTATATTTTGACCTAAATCAAAATATAATATTATTTTCAAAAGCTTTTTTTGTCTGATGCTTCAATTAATTTTAAACAGACAGTTCAACAAAAGGATACCCAAAAAATGTAATTGTATCATTTAAATATTGAATTGTTCTCTCTTAGTAAGATCCCATTTTCAATAACATTGCAGTCTTACCTTGACATGAAGATGAAGTCCATTTGCCTATCCTTCTGGACAAACATCTCTATTACTTTTTTGTAAAAGTCCTCCTTATGTTCTTGTAGTTTCAAAAGTCTATCATAAATCTAATCTAATCAATAGATTTATGATTAGAAAATGATAAAAGTAGGGTAGACATGTGGATATTATCCGGCTGAACAAAACGTGCATTTATCTAACAGCTACGTTTCCCACAGATCTTACTTTGAGCTATTTTCTATCTCATTGCTTTTTTGTGGAGGGAAGCCCTGCGCAGCTTACTTCCTGGTTTTAGGACGCGTCACTGCAGCTCTCTCGTCTCCTCTTCACACACCACACTTTTCGCGGCACACGTACTTACAGCCAATCAGCTCTGAATGATGTGAGATGACGTACGGTGGGGATGGCAGCTCTATGCCCCTATGGTCATTATTTTTGTCACACACATTAAATAGGAAAATACTCTGAGCATGCGCAGTGTAGTTTTTACAGTCACCGTTCACTTATGGCGCATTTCCACTGCAGCGGGGTAGCCCCGTTTAAGCGTCCCTGAGCGTCCTCGCTCAGGCCTCGGGCTGCCTCGCTGGCCGTCCGAGGCCGTGGACCTGGGGTAGCAACGCAGTGTAGGCGAGGCGATCAGCTTTTTGGGCGGAGCGACGCTGGGTAAAACTGCAGTGGCGTCATCTTCAATGCGACACAACTCACAAAACACACACAACAATGGAGGATGTGGAAGCGATCGTTTACTTGTTTCTTGGTGTGTGGCTTGTTATCACAGCAAGCAGGAAAGTGATGTTTCAAAGTAGGCTGCGTATAGCAAGACGAGATGCAGAAGAAGCTGACGAGAGAGTTTTGGAAGTCCTACAACGCTACAGAGACTACAACAGGACTTACTACTCGGTAAGCTAACGTTCGCTAACTAGCCATGTGTTTAGGCTCATGCTCACAATACGACCAAAGTGTTTCAAATATTTAATTAATTGTAGCTACCACTTTTACGTATTAAAATATGTATGCTTTTGTTTGTGTAT